TTCAAAAGGACAATTTTGATTTTGTAATCAGTGACTCAAATACCCACACAAGACTTCAGGCAGTGGACAGACCAACCTCTCAAAACCAGTTCACTCATTTCCAGTCATACATGAACAAGCCCTAAGCTCATGCTCAGTCCGAGATTTCTAAACTAGCAGGGTACAAAGACCCATGGAAAGCTCCAGAAGGGCCTAAGGGATTTTCCCCATTCACAGTGTCAGGAACAAATCTAAAAGGCAGAGGAACTACAACATTCAGTATCTTTCAGGGCAAAAATCAGCTTTACTCAAAGCACAGTGGTGCCAGTTCTGGAGCAGCCAGGGCTGCCTGCACGCCTGACTCTGCACTGATCAATCAAAGTGAATCATCACTGTGAGAGACAAACTGAGAAATAATTTAGCACTGAAACAAGCCTGTTGCTGCTCAGCAGGTAACAGCATGACTGGGATAACGTATCCTCCTCAAAGGGACTCATAAACAGACTTGAGAAGGAGGGAACACATGCTGGGGCTGTGGCTACAGGAGGCTTATCATGCACCAGGTCCTCCAAGTCCCACAACTGGCAGTTCCAGCCCTGTTGTTGCAGGAGATCCCCTTGGAGCCTAAGTATCTATTTTCATCTTCTACATTTTTGGAAGATATCCTAACCTTTACAAACCAGCTTTTTATTTTATTTTTTTGTAGCACTGAAGCTTGTAATTTGCAGGCAATTCTTATATTTCAGAGCTGTACGGCAACATTAGCAATGAAGTGAATAAGCACAGCATTAAGGGTAACAAAGAAAACAGAGCTGGAGTTTGCTTCCAGTTCTGTACTCAGCAGTAAGAAGTACAGGCGAGTGCAGGGAAACCACTGCCTGAGCACAGCAGAGGGCTCTGCTCTCACTGCAGTCTTCACCCTAAACCCTGAGCCCGCAGCCAGGCAGCAGCTCCTGACCACCACCAGCATTTCAGTGCATTTCGGGCTTTAAAGAGTCACCTAGGGCTCCATCCAGCTACAGCATGAATGGTTTCCTAATAGAGATGATTTCAGAGTCTGGAGCGGTTTCAGGAGGAGCTCGGAGCTGGCTGCTGCCAGGAACTACGTGAATGTAGCAGCAAGGAATGCTGCTCCCTCCTCTCCCCCTGCGCCTCCATCAGCTCTGAGCAAAGCTGTGCTGAACAGGGTCGGAAAAAGTCAGTTGTCATCCAGGAACCCCGTGGGGCTCCAGCCTCCATTTCCACCCAGGCTGCAAAAATAAATGGTCACCTGCTGGCAGGGTCGTGGCACCAGCAAACTCGCATCTCACCCAGGGGCTAAGGAAAGCAGCTCTGCTCCAAGGAGGGGAAAAGAGCAGGAACTATAAAAGGAATATTGTATAAGTGCTAGTGCAAAAGCCTTCCTGCTGTTGTTACATTTTAATAACTCATACTTCCGAGCGGAGCAGACTGGAGGCTGCCTGCTGTGACTGCCAACAATGGCACCAGCCAGACCCGCAGAGAGCTCTTCATGGTGTGCCCAGCCAGCTCAGCCTGGCTGCAGCTCCATACTGCTCCCAGCCTTGGCAGTGGGCACAGCACTGTCTCCTACTATCATTTCCTTGCCCAAAGGATTCAGCTTTTGCTCAGGTTTTCATTAGCATCTTGCCTTCTCCAGGCTGCTTCACAGATCAGAAGGTCCCCCAGTGGGAAATGCACTAACACAGCCACCACTGGACTCTTGGGTCTCTGTAATGAGGTAATAATGCCCTGTCCCTGGAGACACACAAGGTCAGGCTGGCCGGGGCTCTGAGCACCTGACTGAGCTGCGTTCATTGCAGGGAATTGGACCAAAAGGTTTTTAAGGGTCCCTTCCAAGTCAAATCATTCTATGACTCTAACTGGGTTCAGATCCCTGATCCTCACGTATCCACCTCAACTTAGAAATGCTACTTTCTTGCTTTCACTTTTCTTTCTCCATAAAGATAGAGAGTACAGAAAGTAACAAGAGAGATATGCAACAAACTTCAGCAGTCACCTTTCAGGACAGAGTGCAGCTGAATTCTAAGAGAAGCAGACTGGGTTGAAGAAAAGCAGTGGAAGGAACTGAGGTGCAGCTTCAAGAGTTCCCTACCTGCTCGCTGATCAGAACCCCACGTGCATTCAGTTCTTCCCTGCCCTCCCACACTGCAACCCACGAGTACCAAACCCAATTTCAGATCTGTTAGATGAATCATTCTGAAACATTCAGCAAATTCTGGTTTTATCATCTCTTCATCCAGCTGCGGCAAACTCTGCAGCCTGACCTGTGGTGGCCGGGCTTTATGGCCACCTGGTTCCTCCCGAGGCACCAGACCTCGGATCTTTCGCTCTGATCTACAACACAGGCATCAGTGCAAAGTTTTTAGCGGTCGCCAGATGGAGCTATTGCTGGTAATACCCACCTCTAAAGGCGTGAAGAAACACGGAGAAGGCAGCCAGCAGCGAGGTGCCTGTCTTCACAGGGGCTGAGCATAAATCAGCCCAATCACTGCCTACAAATCTGAATTCAATGCACCCAACGCTCAGGTGCTGAGCAAGCTATGCACAAGCAAAATAAAATAAAATAAAATAAAATACAACAACCCAACCATAAAATGAAAATATTGCTTCTTCCATTTACACCAAAACTTCTTTATTATTAATGATGTATGACCAGAGCCTCACCGTGCTGATTTAGAGGCTACTAATACCTGTGGCCTTTCAGCAGCGTGATAGCAATCCATTCCTGTAGGTTTTCAAGCAGCACATTTGTCTTGCTGCTGAACCATGCCCATTTCATTGACACTTCTACTTCTCTAACCACAAAAGCAGCTTTCCCCGTGACAAATTACACCACATATACACCCAGCAGTTCTGGAAGGGCATGCCTCTTCCAAGAAGCCACGAGCACTTGCAAACCTGTCTTATTAAATAGAGGAAGAAAGCAGCGTGTGCAGCTGCCAGTTATAATTGAAATCATTTTAATAATTCATACCTCATTACCTTGCCACATGGCAGTTCAAAGACCATCTCCTACTCCTTTAACCCTTTTCTCCCGCATCCTTCAGTTTGATTTCAGAGTTTAATCAGAGAAGAAACAAGATGGAGAACACTCATCAGCACTTGCCCTTGGGAACAAAATCCAGGAGACACAGTGAGGCTGGGATCTTAGTGCCCTTTCCCCTGCCTTTATTTTCCCTGTTTCAGTCCATCGCTGCCAGATGAAACAGAAAATAAGTTAGTAAGTTGTTATATGCCCCAAACTACTGGCTGAAGCTGGAATTGCATTATGGTATGCCTAGGTTACTGCACCACAAAGAGCTGGGGGAGTTTTGTTACTTAGCATTGTTGATCTGTTCTTATAAGACCGTTATGGTTTTAAGGTTTTGAAAGTTCCTTGTTGCTCCCTTGGCTATTTGGGGAGATACTGTATGATATCAGCTTACCACTTCTATCCAACACAGTGAGATTGCAAGCAAAGTGAGGTCTAAAATTATTTATGGCTGCAAGCATGGTCCTGTTCGCTTATGAAAGGGAAATAACCCTGTAAAAACACATTCATTGAAACACAGTGTGTATTTACACAGGAGGTGTCCCTCCCTCAGAAGTTAAACTTGTGCATATGAGGGAGACCAAACCACATACGTGAACGTGCATCAACATGAGCAAAATAGCACTAGCATAAGATTTCAACACAAGAAATGCCAACATCAGCAAAGTCTATCATTTGTAACTGGTTGCTCAATGCGTCCCAGCAGGCAGATAAATTCAGCTATAGATAAATCGGCTGATAGCCTAACGAAAGCTGTAACATAAGGAGCATTGCAATCTCTGCTGTTACCACCACCTACAGCACACTTGACCCAGCCTACTGCAGGCTGCCAGCGTGCTGAGCCACGTGCCTACAGCACAGCACAGATCCACCCCATGGATCAGCACACAGCATCCTCTGTGCCCCAGGGCTGATCTCTGCAAAAGCACGGGGAGGAGCTGGCAGCACAGATGTGACAGAGCCCTCAGAACCCAGCATACATGCACATTGATTGAGACAGCACAAGCTCCTCCAACACAGGTCTCAGTCAGCTGGCAGCAGAGCCAGAGCAGGGTCACCTTGGGGAACTTTGCAGGTGGACACAGAACTCAAGGCGAACGAAGCCTGAACCGCTCTAGTGACACGGCAAGATTTACACCATCTGACCCATGGTATTTTAGTACCATCCCCATGGTTTGTCTGTTGAGCACACACAGCTGCTTCCACGTTCTCACTGCTCTCAGCAAAGCATGATTTACTGCTTACTGTCTATAAGGGTTTAGCTGTGCCTATGGACAGTATGGCTTTCAGTGGGTGGGTGACCCAGGGGCCTTTTTCCAGGACACACAGCAAGCACAGCCCAGAAGTGCATGTTGGAGTTGAGCAAAGGTATCTTTACAGGGAACACAGTAAGTAGTCTGAGCAGTGCTCTAGAAGCTGCACTTTACCTTTGAAGCCCTAAAATAAGGTCTGTTGACATACCCTCTCTACCTACAGGGTGAGGACAAACATGATCAAACACTTCTTTCTTTCATGAACAAGCTCTGAGCCAAAGCACTCTCTCTTCATTTAGCAAGAGAAAGACATGTACAGCCAGCATGATTCATCAAAGAAATGTTTTCCAGGTTGAACATTGGGAAAAACTTCTCCACAAATGTTGAAGCACTGGCACAGGCTGCCCAGGGAAGTGATGGAGTTGCTGTTCCTGGAGGTGTTCAAGAAATGCAGAGATGTGGCTCTGTGGGAACAGTTAGTTGGCACGGTGGGGGGGAGGTTGGACTTGGTAAGCTTAGAAGTCCCTCCCAGCTGTAACAATTCCGTGATTCTAATGTGCTGTGCATGGGCAGGGTGCTCAGCTGGAAAAGCCACTTCAACCTTGAGACCCAACATGGCATGCACATATACAACTCTGCAGAACCAAAACGTTCAGATGGGCATTTGTTTTAAAAATACCAACAAGAACTCTTAGGTTCTCCTTTCTTTTTTAAAAAAATCATGACTGACCATTAACAGAACTGACAAAAATTCACGATTCTCCAGTGACATTGGGTTAGATTTTCCAGTTTGTGGAAGAGTAAAAGAAAACTTCAGTCAAATACAGCCATCCCCTTATTCAAAGCAGAACATTTTAGAGAACAGTTTGGCTCCACTTCCAGTCTGCATTCAGTATTGAAGAGCCTGGGGCTCCTCTGGTCTGGGCAAACGGCCAGAAAGTGATTCTGAACAGAAAAAGTAAGCAAAGTCATTTCTGATTCCTGAGCAAGCCAGGTGAAACACAAAAGTCAGTCAATTAAAATACAAAGGTCCAAGTCAGTTTTAAAGTATTCTTTCCACTGTAACAACATTAGCAATTAGTTACAGTCAGAAAGGCAAGGCAACTGATCTTTATTTTGGTTGTGTTCTTTTAAGGACACGGACTGCTGCCAACACGCAGCGTAACTCATACAAAGGATCACAAGTGAACTGTGATCACGGAATGGGTCACAGCAGAAGTCCGTCTCCCCCAGGTCATCTGGAGGTGCCAAATCCCCTTTCTGAGTTGCTATGAAAGAATCTGCTCTCAAATTCATCTTCTCTGATCAAAGCTGGCTGCTGATCCTGTCTCACAATTCCCAGGCACGTTGCACCCTTCTGCCTCCATCCAGCTTTTTATGGCTGAATCTCCTCCAGCTCTTCCTTTCCAAAACCATGTTAAAGTCTTTTAAAGGACTCTGAGCATCATCCACTGCAACAGAAAGAGAAAGCTGAGCATTTCCCTCCTCCTCCCCTGGCTACCCCAGGCAGCTACGCTGCCAACTTTCAACACATCCTGAACATATATTTAGTCTGCAGTAATTTGCTTTGCACAGGCTCACACGGGTTCCAAGTGCAGGGATTACATATCCAGAGAGGCATCCAGCAGTTTGAAGCTTCAGAGATTCAGCTCATCATGATGCTGGTGTCAGAGGAGGAACCGCTGGTCCCAGGCACAACTGTGGGACAGAGGAGGCAAAGAGCAAACAGGAGACAACCCCAAATCCGTATCTGCCTGTGCTGTTGTAGCTGGGTGAGAGTTAGCATTACCCTGGTTCACACACAGAGGAACAACACCGTGGGCACCTGGAAGTCCTCCTCTGTGCTCCTGAACAGGGCACAACCAGAGGAATCCCATCCCTTCCTTTGTTCATACCCATAAGGTCCAGAACCCAGCTGTAACTGAACATATCACAGTTATTCCTGGAGTTCCTTTTATTTTTTGCCCCTAGACCAAGCAAGGTCTCCAATCTACGCACAGAGATAGACCTGAGGGACCAAAGCAAAACAGTCTTGAAGGATCACCTGCAGTGACACAGCACAGAGATGTGCTCCAAGGCTTGAGAACAGGTCAGCAAGAGTTGGGTGAGTGGCAGCAGTGCTTGTCATTTGCTTCCTATATGCTTCATGGCAGCAGATGGAATTTATACGCACTTCCAAAGCTGAACATAAGTCCTCTTTCCAAGTTAGGCTTACAAGCAGGCTAGAGTTGAGCAGCAGAGCCTTCACTACCCTCAGCCCCACACTTACATCCCCAAAACAGCAGACTGCAAGTGAGGCTGGATTTGCAGGAACAGGATGTGCTCATCCTGAAGACAACTTTTCTCTCAACACTGCTCCTTTTGCAATCAGAAACCATAATTCCTGCCTGGGGCAGAAAGAGTTTATTTTGCACTGTTCTGCCTCAAGATGTGAGAAGCAGTCAGCTGTGAGCAGCCAGGCTCTTGTGTGCCTTATTTGCAGTGCACAAGGTGAGAATGGCTACAATCCACAGACACATCACTACAGCTCTGAAAATACGCAAAGGAAGGAGAGCTCAGCAGGGACTCTGTCACATGAGGAAAACCTGGAAAAACTGCCATCAGATTCAATGGCTTTGCAGCACCCCAGGCACATTCTCTCAGACAGCAAGTCCTAGTGCCCACCAACTGCAGCACCCACCAGTGCTGCACCACAGCTCTGCTACAGATCACAAATGTCAAACAAGGCTAGCCACCACTTACAAATATAAATCAATTAGGTTATTTTCTCTCTGGAACACATTTTCCAAGAAGAATGCACACCTCTCAGCAGATGAATTCTTAAAGAAATATCACCCTCTTGTGTCCAAGCTGAAATTAGCAAGGAATGCTGCACAAAGTTGGAAATAAAGCAAGCAGCCTATGCTGCAAAACTGCACAGCAGCCATTTGGCTCAATATTCTTGTAGTTTGGAAAAGTGGCTTTCAGGATATGGACAAGGAGCTTAGAGGCCAATGTAGAGGACATGCCCTGCAGTGAGTTACAAAAACTGAGAAGCACTGATTCTGCAAACACATCTGATGTGTTTGCACAGAAATTAACCTTGCATGTTGGCCTAGCACTGAGATCTTCAGCCTTGGCTCCTGGCATCTCCATCCAGCATACATCATTGATGTTTGTCAGGGCATAGAAGTGAAATAGTGATATATGTTGTTACCAGTGCTTTTCTATACAGCTAAACTCTCACAGAAACCTGTTAGCTCAGTGTGCTCCCCACCTGTGACAGCTCTACGCTTCTCTTCCAGCACTGCCTGTGACACTGTGCAAGCTGCATGAGCTGCAAAATCATATTTACCAAGGTGCAGCCTTCGGTGTGTTTTTTTGCTTTAAGTTTTGCTTTCACTTTTAATTGAAACATCAGTCTGGCATGCCTCTCACTTCAGAAATGAGCTGTCATCACTACCTACAGTTTCACGTTCTCATTCTTGTGCCATGCTTATTTAACCCTTCACTTAACCCTTAGCAAAAATAATCTGTCTACTGGAGTGCCTTGAGTAAGGGAAACCCGATTTCCTCAGGTAAAGCCCCCCCAAGTGCACTCAGAGTTGTTTCTCTCTAGCAACCACTGCAGTCCCAGTGGGACACCTTGTGCTGGTCCTTGCAAACCTTGGGCCTGCTACACACATGCATATTTTTAGAAGCTACAGAGATGAGACATGGACTTGTTCGCATGCTTGCTTGATCATAAAGAGCACTAAGACACCTGGGGAGAGTTACCACTTCTTCCAGTCTGTTTGGCTGCTCCATTTGGTTTTGCCTGCTCACTAGCAGCCAGCACAGAAATGCTTCCTGCTGCCCCAGCCAGGATGACATCTTGCACACTTCCAGAATGAGGGAGCTTGTTCACTCCCCCCTTTCATGTTTCTGTCCATCTCCTACAACTACTTCCAAAGCACCCAACACAAGCAGTTCAGCTTGGGGGAAGAAAAAAAAAAAAAAAAAAAAAGTGATAAACAGCAATAAAACAATCTACCAGAAGCAAGATCTCCAACGTGTGTCATTTAGATTGAATTGGAATGCTAATAAGCATTAAATGCTATTCTAGAATTTCAGATGTGTTTAATGCAGGGGATTTGCATATCTACCACTGCATTTTTAATCCTTGATAAATGTGTAGAATAATCAATTACTCAATGAACATACAAGAGCTGGCTGATTAAATCTCAATTATAAAGGCAAGTCTTACCCACTCTATTTATTATGACTATTCTCCCAGCATTGCCTAATTAAGCCATAGTTGATTATGGGGTGGAAAAACATTTATTGCAGATATTGTGGTTCTGTAACTGATGCATATCTGCGGCCTGGCTGTTAAGCCTTAATAAATACATTTTAAGCAGCTAATTGTTTAATTAACAACAGTCTCTTCCAATCTCAGCGTAAAGCATAGTGAAGTCCTTTCATGAGCAAGCTAATAGGAATAAAGCCATTGGAAGCTGCTGTGCTCTTTTCACCCCCTCCCACACTTGCCAGTGTTGCTGGGGAGCTTCCAGCTCCTCCAACAATGCTTTGGAAAGGGACTGCTGCCCAGGCAAGGGGTGCTGTGCTGTTCCATAGCCAACTCCAGCTCCTAGGGATTGGAAGCAAGCACCCTGCTGCTTCTGTGAACTCCAAAAGCAATCTGGCTCAAAGAACGTGGACAGAACCTCACTGCATACACACAGTCATAACACCATCTTCCAAATCTGCTTGCAAGTACACAGGTTGAGTAGGAACATTGTAAGGGGAGATTTAATGACAGCCACTCGAGCTCTGGCATCCGGTGCTTGTCCACAAGTTGTGTAGTTCAGCCTACAAAGCCGCTATCTTTTGGCTGTGGTTTGAAAACAAACATTGCTCTAATAATCTTCTGTTTTCTTCACATCAAAAAACTCAACCCACGTTATCTACTGAGTGGTAAAAGCACTGAAATAGCTCAGACTTTTTTAACGCTTTTGATAAATGAGTGTAAGATTTGATAATGCAAAACCAGTAGGACACATCCACAGCAGAATCCAACATAAGCAGACAGAGCAAGAACAGTTTTGCTAAGCACTAACAAAATAACCTGAGAGCTCCTCAGGGCAGCCTGCAAAGGGAGCCTGCCTGCCTTTCCCAGGGTGCTCCTCAAAGCAAGAGAGCCTTGAAAATGCAGTAACTTCATTATCCATCTGTTTCCTATCAGATGACGATGTGCTATGGATTTTTTTCCCCTAGAAGGCTGTAGACGTCCCTGTTCATTGCAGAGGAGTTGGACCTGATCACCTTTAAAGATCCCTTCCTACTCAAGGAGTTCTATTCTAAGAGTGGAAGTTTCATCACTTCGTTCTGTAAATTTGAGGCCGTCTATCTTCTCACCCCAAATCAGAATTCAAGCTCCATAGCAGCAAAAGGCACACACCTGCCCTTCAGAGGAAGGGAAGCATCCTCGATCTCTAAGCAAGAGCTCAGATGCTTTGTGTCCTCTGAAAAAATATCAGGCACCATAATACCTAAATCAAAGTTTTGCACATAGAAACAAGTGCTGAGGTCAAACTGGCTCAATATTCTGTTTGTTACTCAAAGGAGAGCCCTCATATTCTGATCCTGGGGGAGCACACAGAAGCAGCATGCTCCCATTGCACAGTGGGGTTAAAATGCAGCCCCCACAGGATAAAGCAACTGTTGGAAAGAAATACAGCTACCTGCATTATCTACCCGTGGCTGATGGTAGAACTGCAGAGATCTCTCTGGAGTGGCTTCATCTGTTTTCTGCTGTGGGCATTATTTTCCTGGGAGGAAGACTCCAAGTTTCAGATCCATCGTGAAGATGAATCTTCAGTAGAATTTTAATGAAGCGTGTAGAAGCAATGTAGAAAATTAAAGAAACTTCTGTTTTATCCCTGGTATCTAAATCCTGTAGGCAACATGAAAGCCACTGAAATACTTCTGAGCCTGAATAATGCAAAATGTGCAGATGAAAATCTTCCTCTGATGAATATTTGATAGGAAGAGGAGCAGGATGGAAGGTGAAGAGCATGCCTCACATCCAAGTGTGTCTATATGTGCATCAGGAAAGCTCCAGAGATTTAAACGCTGTCACTGACATGGCAAAGCACAAATGTCAGCTTCTGTTTGTCACTGTCCAACCACGGGAGCACATCCTCCTCACTGTAACGTCCCCTACAGGTGGATGTGTCTGCCCCCAGCCCTGTTTGCTTATCAAGCCCCCCCTCCACAATGCACTTACCTGCTTGATGCTGGATTCTTTCAGGAATTATGCTTCCTTATTTAATTAGAGATGTGCAGCTTTCATTTAACTCTTACAACTCTTGCATTCCTACCAACTCTACACAAGTTTTGTTACAAGCGTGTCTCTTCTCAGGCAGCAGCTCCTGCAAGGTGCCCTGTTCTGCACCAAATGGTACCAATGACACTGCAGAATAGCTGCACTGCCTGTCACAACCAACCACACTACATTTTCAGCACAGAGTCAGGTCAGACAAGTAACAGGGAAGATTCAGCTCTAAAACAGACTGTATGGATTACACCAGCAACTGGAGACTGCAGGAACAGGTTAGGCAAGCACTAGTTTCAGGTATCTTCAGTTATTTCCATAACAGATAATTGATCCAAACATATCTGATTCATTCTAGTCCTGCATTTTAAAATAAACTTTATGCTATTTCTTGCTGGTCCTA